GGGTCCTACTTCTGAGTTTTGTGCTTGGGCTTCTCCAGTGATCACATTTTCTACTTCCTCTCACCCTGAACCCTACTGCACCCCTACTGCAAAGCTGGGTCTAATGTGGGCTTGCTGGACGGCCAAGACATGCCCCCCAACGGCCTTCGGAAAATACATATGCTCCCCATTCCCAAGAAGCACCCCGAGAAGTTACCCTCTGAATCCTGTTCTCCTTGTCATTTTCAATCTGGGTAATTAAACTCAACACCTCCAGGGTGATTAAAAATTAATTCTGCATTCAACAGGCCCGGAAATGAAATGCAGTGGGAAACACACTTGGCGTTCCCGGCTAGATGTAATTGGAAAATCGTCCTGCCAGGGGGAAGGAGGGGAAGGAAGGCACTGTTGCAGCCACAGAAGGTGCTGCTTACACGGTAACAAGCCTCTTCTCTTGACGAGGCTGTCGCTGACAGTTGCAGGGTACAGGCAGTTGGCTTACACCAGGGGTCTTCTAAATCGACGAGGGACTTAGAAGTGAGTACCGCTCCTGCCCAAGCCTGTTCGAGTCCCCACTGTCTGTGCGGCACCCCCACCCCACTGCCAACAGCCACTGCCAGCCCTCGCTCCCCCTCAGCAGTGCCATCTGCAGCAGGCAAACCCTGGCACCGTCCCAGCATCTCCTCGCCTGCTGTCCCCCGATGCCCCATCCAGCCTGCTCTGGTCCTCTCCTCAACCCTCCCTTTGCTTCCAGCTACTCTCCCCCAGGGGTGGTCCCTCTGCAGGCCGGCTGCCCCTGGGAAGTCTCCAGTGCTCTTTGTCTCCCAGATAACAGCCTGTTGCTTGGGATGCCAGCCATTCCGGGATGCCACAAAAGGGCATTTCCTTTCCCCATCCCAGAAGCCGCTAGGGGCCTTCGCACCTCCCACACCATCCAACTTTCCCATCTGGTGCCTCTGAACACCGTGGGCAGCAGGAAATATCTATTTAACCCTCAAGGGCTAGAATGCCTTACTATTTTGAGGAGCTTAGTAGCCTGTGGCAGAAACCGTGTTTTGTTCAAGATGATCCTGCCCCTAACTATCAACCATGTAACTGCAACAAGGCATGGGGAGAAGTTCTGGGTCTTTCTTGACCTTCTGGAAGGAAATAGGACAGTGCTGTCCAGCATGGTGGCCACCACCCACATGTGGCTATTAAATTTAAATTAAGTTATGGGACTCCTGGGTGGCTTAGCCGGTTAAGCGTCCAACTTCAGCTCGGGTCATGATCTCACAGTCCGTGAGTTGAAGTCCCACATCAGGCTCTGTGCTGACAGTTCAGAGCCTGGAGC